ACGTTTTGGTTCGACTGCTGCAAAGAGAGGCGAAGTTCGACGCCTTCTGCGGGGCCACGGAGCAGCGGGGCCTCGGCGCCAGCGGCGGCGCGGGGCAGCGGTCCCACTTGTTTCGCAGCGCCGCCCGCCCTTCTGGGTGGAGCTCCAGCGGCAAAGCTCGCAGCAGCGGCTGCGGGGCTTTCACGATGGCCTGTTCGCCTATGCGCTTCGCAGTAGCGGTGCCCCAATGAGGGGCGCGATTGCCCCCTCGGCGCAGGCGCCCCAAAGAGTCCTTTCAGAGGCTCCGAAAAAGGCTCCCAGGAAGCCATCAGGAAGCCCCAGAGAGAGCATCGAGAAGCCTCCTCTTCCTCCTCCTCCTCCTCCTCCTCCTCCTCCTCCTCCTCCTCCTTTTCCTGCCTACCCTGTTTTCGTTTCCTCTCCTAAGTATGCCCCTGAGGGGTTCCACAACGGCTGGGGGGGCACATAGTGCAGTAGCGTTCCAAGAGTTCGACCCAACGTTTGGCCACGCGGGCCCCTCCAAAATTCAGGGGGCGGCAGTGCTCGCCGAAGTCGTCTTCGTTCGGCAAACAACTAACCTGGCTACGGATCCAACCCTGCGCGATCACGTGCAGCGCAGGGCACAGCGCTCCCTGCATACACAGCGCGCCGCGGGACAGTTTGGATAAAGGGGCTGCTGCGGTGCAAGCGTGCAGAGGCGCGTTAGACTGCGTGGGGGCACGATCCGCGTGGAGCGGGTGCTGAATAATAGGGGTACTTCCGCGCGAACACGCCCACAGGCCGCGGGTAGAGCTCCGTGTGGAGCACGACCCGTGTGAGGCATGTGCCGAAATAGGTGGGGGGACGCCGTGCGAAGTTGCGCAGTGGTGCCATAGGTGGAGTTCCTCCCAGGGCATGGTTCGCGTGAAGGGTGTGCCGAAATAGGCGGGGGGACGATGTGCGAACCTCGTATCCGGGGCTGTGGGTGGTGATCTCCATGCCGGGGGAACCCTGTCGGGGCGTTCCATGTGGGGCACGATCCGTGTGAGAGGTGTGCAGAAGTAGGGACGGAATGAGAGCCTTGTCTCTGGGGCCGTAAGTGAAACTCCTTGCGGGTCACGGTCCGCGTGAGAATTGTGCCGAAGTGAGCGGGGCGACGCGATGTGAAGGTTCCTTCTGGTACCGTACATGCATTTACTTCGCGGGGCAGTGCGATGCGCGTGAGCGATGTGACGCTATGCGAATTTGGTCTCGGGGGCCGTAGGTGGAACTCCTTGTGCGGCACGATCATTGTAAAGTATATGCTGAGATGGGTGGGGGGGGCGTAGGTGTAGCTCCTTGAGGGTGCGATCCGTATAAAGGATGTGCTGAAATAAGCGGGGGTGGGCGCTATTGAGATGTGCATTGCATGCCCGCGATTGCACACGTGTTCCCATGTGGTTATCGTGGTTGGTTGGTGCGCGTGCCCATCCGCTGATTGATATGACGTTGCGTTTGCCTGGGTAAGCAGAAAGGCGCGCACGAAGCGCGCGTGTGGCCCTCGTCCGCAGAATTGAGCCCTATTCCACCATCCTCCTGGACCAGGGCCATCCCTGGACCTCAGGACGGTGCATCGCACAGACCCTGTTGGTCGCAGGCGGGAGGTTGTCTCCGCCACCCTGGCGCCCAGGATGGCCCCTCCGAGAGGCGGAGACATCCGAGGAAATGACTTGTTCAATGCGCGGCCCTTGATGTCCAACCCCTTCCCCTGGGGGTAGCTTTCCGCCCTGGATCCATTTTTGACGGCCCTGGGGCCCGAGAGCGGGCCCCGGGGGCCGAAATCGAGGAAAAACGCCCAGGGTGCAACAATTATACCGTCGGAGATCTGGGTTTCCCTTGGGACCCGTTGGTTCCGCGGCGAACCGCGTGGCAAGCCATGGCATACCACGCCAGAAGGTGAGGGGGAACGTCAGGGGGTGACCGGCTCGTGCGGGAAAACATCGGCCCGGAGTCGGCGATGCATCGCCGATAGCGAATCCGCACGTTCCTGGGCGGGGTTGGCTTTGGGGCCCCATATCGGCGATGGGCGATTCGGGCCAACGCCTCCTCTCACCCGAGCCTATCCCAGTCGCATTGTTGCCCCTTGGCTTTCGGGTCATAACTCGGCTCCCGGGTGGCCGTTCGGGACCATTCCACCACGCCCAGAACGCCCGCGACGAGACACAGGTGGTGGAGATCATCCAGGGTCCCGAAAACGCTAGAAGAATTGTTTGGGAAATGGTATATATATTTTTTCTCGAGCCTGTCCCCCCGTGAACGTTGCCCCTGAGTGGCGGTGGTGGGAGGAGGGGGGAGATGAAAAGGGGGATGGAGGAGGGGGGGTGGAGGACGAGGAGGAGGAGCAGACGAATGGTCTTGAATGCTGAGGACCCCATAGTAGCAGTAGTAGTAGTAGTAGTAGTAGTAGTAGTAGTAGTAGTAGTAGTAGTAGTAGTAGTAGGACTAGCAATAGTAGTTGCAGTCGTAGAACTGGTGGTCATAGTAGTCGTGGTAGTAGTAGTAGTAGTAGTAGTAGTAGTAGTTGTAGTTGTAGTTGTAGTAGTAGTAGTAGTAGTAGTAGTAGTAGTAGTAGTAGTAGTAGTAGTAGTACTCGTAGTAGTAGCAGTAGTAGAAGAAGAAGAGTAGTAGCAGTAGCAGTAGTGGTAGTGGTAGTAGTACGAGTGGCAGTGATAGTAATAGTAATCGCAATCGCAGTAGTACCCGTAGTAGTGGAAATAGTAGTAGTAGGAGTCGTAGTAACAGTATTATTCGTAGTAGTAGTAGCAGTAGTAGCAGTAGTAGTAGTAGTAGTAGTAGTAGTAGTAGTAGTAGTAGTAGTAGTAGTAGTAGTAGCATTAACACCAATAGTAGTAGTAATAGTAGTAGTTAGTACTACTACTACTACTACTACTACTACTAGCGGTAGTACTAGGTAGTAGTAGTAGTAGTAGAGTAGTAGTAGTAGTCGTAGTATTAATAGCTAGTAGTAGGGTAGTAGTAGTAGTAGTAGTAGTTAGTAGTAGTAGTAGTAGTAGTAGTAGTAGTAGTGGTAGTAGTAGGACTCGTAGTAGTAGTAGTAGTAGTAGTAGTCGCAGTAGTAGTCGTAGTAGTAGTAGTAGTAGTAGTAGTAGTAGTAGTAGTAGTAGTAGTAGTAATAGTAATAGTCGTCGTCGTTGTCGTGCTAGTAGTAGTTGCAGGTGTAGTAGCAGCACTATTAATAGTAGGATCCGTAGTAGTAGTCGTTGTAGTAGTGGTAGTAGTAGTAGTAGTAGTAGTACTTGCAGTAGGAGTAGTAGGAGTAGCAGTTGTAGTAGTAGTAGTAGTAGTAGCAGTACTAGTACTAGTGCTAGTAGTAGTAGTAGTAGTAGTAGTAGCAGCAGTCGTAGTCGTAGTCGTAGTCGTCGTGCTAGTGGTAGTTGTAGGTGTAGTATTAACACTATTAGTGGTAGGATCCGCAATAGTAGTCGTTATAGTTGTGGTAGTAGTAGTAGTAGTAGTAGTAGTAGTAGTAGTAGTAGCAGTCGTAGTCGTAGTCGTAGTCGTAGTCGTAGTCGTCGTGCTAGTGGTAGTAGTAGTAGTAGTAGTACGAGTACTATAGTACTAGTAGTAGTAGTTGTTGTAGTAGTAGTAGTAGTACTAGGAGTAGTAGTAGTAGTAGTAGTAGTAGTAGTAGTAGTAGTAGTAGTAGTAGCTGTAGCAGTAGGGGTCGTAGCATTCGTAGTCGTAGTCGTAGTAGTTGTGGTGGTGGCAGCAGTAGTAGTAGTAGCACTAGTAGTAGTAGTAGTAGTAGTAGTAGTAGTAGTAGTACCAGTAATACTAGTAGGAGCAGTAGTAGTAGTAGTAGTAGTAGTAGCAGCAGTAGTAGTAGTAGTAGTAGTAGTAGTAGTACTAGCAGTTGTTGTTGCTGTAGTAGTAGTAGTAGTAGTAGTAGTAGTAGTAGTAGTAGACGTTGTGGTAGTAGTAGTAGTAGTAGTAGCAGTAGTAGTAGTCGTAATCGTACATTAGTAGTCGTATCGTAGAGTAGTAGTAGTAGTAGTAGTAGTAGAGTAGTGTAGTAGTAGTAGTGGTAGTAGTAGTGGTAGTAGTAGTAGTACTAGTCGTAGTCGTAGTCGTAGTCGTTGTAGTAGTAGTAGTAGTAGTAGTAGTAGTAGTAGTAGTAGTAGTAATAGTACTATTATTATTATTATTATTAGTAGTAGTAGTAGTAGTAGAAGAAGTAGTACCAGTAGAGGGAGTAGTAGTAGCAGTAGTAGTAGGAGCACAAGTAGTATTGATAGTATGTAGTAGTAGTAGTAGTAGTAGTAGCAGTAGTAGTAGCAGTAGTCGTAGTAGTAGTAGTAGTAGTAGCAGTAGTAGTAGTAGTAGCAGTAGTAGTAGTAGTAGTAGTAGTGGTAGTAATTCTAGTAGCACAAGTAGTAGCATAAGTAGTAGTAGTAGTAGTAGTAGTAGTAGTAGCAGTAGTAGTAGTAGTAGTAGCAGTAGTAATCGTAGTAGTAGTATTAATAATAGTAGTAGTAGCAGTAGTAGTAGTAGCAGTTGTAGTAGTAGCATTATTATTAATAGTAGTAGTAGTAGTAGCAGCAGCAGCAGCAGCAGTAGTAGTAGTAGTAGTAATAGTAGTAGTAGTAGTAGTAGTAGTAGCAGAAGCAGTAGTAGCAGTAGTAGCAGTAGTAGCAGTGGTAGCAGTAGTAGCAGGAGCGATGACGACGGTGGCGGCGACGACTCCAGCGGGGGCCTGTGCAGTGGCCGCCGCCGTGGAATATTTATTTCCCACTGCTTGTTGGGGTCCCAATTTGTAAATAAGCGCGCGGAGAATGATTGGTTTACCATTATTGCCCGCGGGATTTAAAAATCCTTAGGGGTCACGGAGGAGGCACGGAGGAGGTCCGGAGGAGGAGGAGGAGGAAAGAGCCTGTCCGAGGAGGTTGTCGGAGGCTTGGAGCACAAGCCTCGATCCTCGCAGCCCGAGGGACGTGGCTTGCAGCCGCCGCCTCCCCTGACGCGAGGCTGGTGCACAACGCCGCGCTCTCCCTGGAGGGCCAGGAGCACGTGCAGTACACGCAGGACCCGGGCGCCCGCCGTTCGGGCGGCGCCCCGCCCGCTCCTCAGAGTTCGGGGGCGGGGGCTTGCAGAGGGGCGAGTTATCCCAGGGTGGGGCCAGGAAACGAACCCAGCTGGATGCCTGCATTGCCTTCTTGAGCGGGCCGCTTGTGACGATGTTCCTCTGACCCCGCCCCCCGTGCCGTTCCCCTTCCCCGCCCCCCCTGACGTCCCCCGTGACGTCCCCCCTCTGCTCCTGCCCCACCGTGGCGTCCACCCCCCCGGCGGGAGCGCCCAGATGGAGCGCAGACGCCCCTCCCCTCGCACCCCGAGGGCGGGGGGTCCGGCCCGGGAGCTCCGAGGCGGTCCGGTCCGGCCCTGTGAGCGCAGTCTGGGAGCCGTCGGGGGTGGCCAAGGCAGGGGCGGGGGGGCTCCTGCTGCTGCTGTTGCTGCTTTGCCTCGGTCCTCCTTGCTAATTACCGAGGTATATACAAGTGGCATCGATCGGCATCCATGGAATTGTTTCTAGGGGGATAGATAAAATAATAGTTTTTCGAATGCGAATTAATGGCACTCGGGATCCGGGGGGAGGGTGGGTGGGGGGGGGTCATCATTTTTTAAACCGGTTTTGGACATTATGTCCCACTCGCCTCGGTCCTCCTCCTCACTCCTCACTCCTCCTCGTCGCTCATCCCTTTTCCTCGCCGTCGAGAATCCCGCCCACAAGCGCCATGCCAGGGATTTGGGCCGCCGTTTGGGCTGATGACCAGGAGGGGGGGAACACAGTGCCGGAGGGGCGGATGTTATGAGAGGTTCCCAGATCTCATGGCCCATCGTCTCCTTTTCATGCGTCCCCTGGTCCCCCTCGTCCGCGCACATGCCGCGGGCCATGATTTGCGAACCCCCCTCTTGGACGCCCCCCTCTTGGACGCCGGGCTCGAGTTAAACTGTGTGTTTGACGATTTCGGAAGCCGTTTCATGATGATTTCGCTTTGCACCAAAGGCGGAACGACGACAGAGTGAGGGAAGTCGAAAACAAAACGAACACGGAAAAGTCTGCTTCGGTCAAGCCTTGATTGAGACAATTGAAGTTGGCATTCGGGGGGGGGGGCCCTCGTCGCCACAGCTCGACGCAGCCCGGAAAACTGGTGCGTCTGGACCCTCGGAGGGGCCGGGTACCGATTTAATCTGCCGCTGTCTCAACTTGTCTTGCTCCGACAATCCACCCACATGATGCCTCCTCCGTCAATCACAACTGCTGCCACCGCGCGCGGTGAGTGGCACACTGGTGCTCGCAGGCGAGTGCTGTCGCTCGCACGCGTACTGCGATGCTCGCATGCGCACAAGCATGGCACAGACACACAACTATATATAATGTGTATACATATTTACTCATGTCAAATACATATATCTATATCACATATAGATCGATGTGTATGTACATGTCTATTTCGGAGCATCTCTTTTTACGTATCCTTCAAGCCTATGGTGTTTTCCCTCCAGGGTGCGGTTTCCCTCGCACGCCTTTTTCCTCCTCCCGCTTTGTCGGCGCGCTGCTTTCGGGAGGACGCCAAGCTGCCCCGGTTCGCCCCGGCTCGACGCAGCTCGGGCAATTGGTGCGTTTGGACCCTGGGAGGTGTCCTGGGACCGATTTGAACCGCTGTTGTCTGGTCTGCCCCCGCCCCTCTCAGGGCTGTCGGCGACCCTGAGCCCAGCCGACGCTCCCCGAGATCTCCGACGATATGGTTTGTTTGTTTGATATTATTTGTTTTTGCAAAATACATGTTCTAGATTTCAGCCTCTGGGGCCCTGTATCGGGCCCCAGGGCCATCGAAAACGGATCCAGGGTGGCAAACTACCCTCAGTGTCAGGACTTCTGGGGCCGCAAATTGACAGAAATCAGATCGGCGGATGTCAACGCCCGCGCCGCCTGGCCCGGATCTGCCCCGCCCCGCCCCAGCCCCCGCCGCCATCCGGTCCGCCAGTGGAAGACTGTTGCGCGGTGTAGTTGCTCTGGGCTCACGCTGTTCTTCGCTTCAGCAGCCATGGCAGGTGCTATGGCAGATGTCGTCGACGTGCGGACGGACATGAGGGTGCAGCGGTTCGACGGCACGGACGCGCGTTGGGGATATTGGTGCTTGAGATTCGAGGCCTACACGGCGTTCCTCGGGTTCGAGGACCTGATGATGGCGGCGGCGACGAGCCGGAACCCCGTCACCAACGACCAGCTCGGCGAGAAAACGGTTTAGATCAGCGCGAGGCTGTTGCACATGCTGATCACGTGGTGCGAAGGCAAGGCCATGGGCGTGGTCAAGATGGCGCGCAACAGCGGCCTGGATGCGTGGAGGCAGTTGAAAGTAGAGAACGAGAGCAGGACGGGGAACAGGTGGACGGTCATGCTTCGCTTCATCACCGTGTGGCTCCGTATGCGCGGAACCGGCGATGCCGAGGCCCCGAATGCCCACTCGTGCGCACGTGATAACTAATGTGCGCCGTTTCTCCCGAGCCCTCCCGAACCCTCTCGAGGCTTCGAATCCTCGTAGCACCCGAGCGGATGAATCTACTTTTCTAGGCCATGCACGCGGCGGTGTTCTTCAGATGTCCCACGCAAACCGGACTGGAATTCCAAATGACGCGCCTCAAGGTACAATGTTAATTTCCATGTTCCCGTCGGCCCTCACAGCGCGTTTTCATGTAGTGTGTGTGTGTGATGTTCCGCCGGCCTTCGCATATTTTTGAACTATATGCTTTAATTCCTATAGAACTATATAGTTTTCGTGGGGGCATGTTATCGCCTGAAATTTACCACGACAACCTTTTCGTGGCGCACGAAAAACCTTTTCGCGGCATTCGTGGAGCTCCACGAAAACCATGAAAACATTTTTTCGTTGCGCTCGTGGCATTTTCGTGGCACGAAAAAGCCATGTTACCGTCGGCCTCCTTAAAGGGCCCCAGAAATTTTAAACACAGTTTTTGCGATTTACGAAAACCACGAGAACTTTTTCCTTTGCGCGCGACAAATTTAAGCGTTCGTGAGGTTCTACGAAAACCACGAAAACCTTTTTGTTGTGGCGCTCGTTGAATTTTCGCGGCACGAAATGCCATGTTACCGTCGGCCTCCTTGAAGGCCACCAGAATTTTTTTAATCAATTTGTGGAATTTACGAAAACCACGCCAACCTTTTCGTGGCGCACGAAAACTTGTTCGTGGCGTTCGTGGAATTCCACGAAAACCACGAAAACCATGTCGCGGCGCTCGTGGTTTTTTCGTGGCACGAAAACGCAATGTTACCGCCGGCCTCCTGAAGGGCCTCCAGCAATTCTAAGATCTGCAGTTTTTGAAATGTACGGAAAAAACGAAAACCTTTTTCGCGGCGCACGAAAGCCTTTTTCGTGGCGTTCGTGGAATTCCACGAGAACCACGAACACCTTTTCGCGGTGGTAGAATGTCACGACATGCTATGTTACCGTCGGCCTCCTTAAAGGCCACCAATATTTTTAAAACTCAGTTTTTGAAACCACGAAAACCTGTTTCGCGGCGCGCGAAAACTTTTTTCGTGGCGTTCGTGGAATTCCACGAGAACCACGAAAACCTTTTCGCGGCGCTCGTAGAATGTCACGAAATGCTATGTCACCGTCGGCCTCCTTAAAGGGCCCCAGAAATGTTTAAAACAGTTTTTGGAACCACGAAAACCTTTTTCGTGGCGCAAGAACACTTTTTTCGTGGCGTTCGTGGACTTCCACGAAAACCACGAAATGTGCGTCGTGGCGCTCGTGGAATTTTCGTGGCACGAGAAAGCCAGATAACGCTAATTTGAAATCAGTTATTGAAACGTATGCGAAAAAAAAAAAAAAAAAAAAAAAAAAAGCCTCTTTCGTGGCGCACGAGAACTTTTTCGCTGCGTTCGTGGAGCTCGAATAAACTTTTTCTTCGCGGCGCCATGGGCCAAGGGAAACATGTTCTCGGCAGCGTGTGAAGTTTCCGTGGCGCGAGAAAGCTGTTGGATGGCGCGTCTTGTCATTTTCCCCCAATCTGAAAATGCGCGAAAGCATTTTTTCGTGGCGCCCGCTGCAACTCGCGAGGTCCACGACGCGAAAAAATACATCCAAATGGCTCTTTTCGTGGCGCGTGAAGCTCTACGAAGACCAGGAAAACTTGTTCGCGGCGCGATCGCGGCGCGCGTGGAGCTCCGCGAAACCGCGGAAACATGTTCGCGGCGCCCGCGGGGCTTATCCATAGAGTTGTGGAAAGCTACGAGTTAAATCAAAATGGCGCGGGGAAAACTTTCCGCGGCGCGGAGCTCCACGAACAAAAACACACAAAATACATGAAGCTCTAGCAAATCCTTGCATGCCGGCGCGAACGAAAACCCCGAGAACCTTTTTGTGGCGCGTTCGTGGGGGCCCAGGAAAACCCAGAACAATGTCGCGGTTTTCCTGGAGCTCATGCATCAGCTAGTTTTCATGCGCAAGAAGACATTTTAATTTCCACGCGAACTTTTCCATGCGCCACACAAGCCGCAAAAACCGTTGCGTTCGTGGGCCGCGAAAAGGCTTGCGTGCACCATGAAAGTTGCGCAGTTTTTTTAATGCGCGCCTACACTTCATAGTTTGCAAGGTTGCTTCGGAACCATGCGGGGCCGTCTTGTGACCCTGTTGGGCCGTCTGTACCGTCTTGCAAGGTGGGCCTTCGATGTCTCCCTCTTGGGCAAATCTTGTTGGGGCCTGCGTGGGCCGTCTCGGGTGCCTCGTGGGCTGTCTTGGAACCCCGTTGGGTCGTCGGGGGCTCGGCGTGCCGGAGGCTCCGGCCCCCGCGCTCTTCCTTCCCCTGGCTGCATGGCCGCGCCGCGGGGGCCGGGGGGCGGCGGGGCGCAGTGCCCAGGGGGCGCTATACCCCACGGGGGCCCTTGCCATGAGGGCAGCGGTTCGGGGGAGGTGGAGGATTGGAGGTTAACGAGCAATGGAAAATGGAGGACGGTGGAGGGGGGGGGGCGGGGTCTACCAGCGGTACTCGCCATCCTCTTC